TTAAAATTTATTTTTCCTTATTTAATTAACAAAAAAGAACATCAAAACACTGACCAGCCTGGCCAACATAGTGAAACCCTGTCTCAACCAAAAATGGCTTGTGCCTGTAGTCCCAGCTACTCAAGAGGCTGAGGCAGGAGAATCACCTGAACCCAGGAGACAGCAGTTGCAGTGAGCCAAGATCACAGCAATCCAGCCTGGGCAACAGAGCAAGGCTCCATCTCAAAACAAAACAACACAAAAAAGAATATCAAAATATTAAACCACTACCCTCACGGTATTAGTCATTATATTCCTTTAGTTTCCTCATGGATAGCTCTTTAAGCACAATATACATATATTCTTATATATATATTTTTTCCCCAGGACAGAGTCTCACTGTCACCCAGGCTGAAGTGCAGTGGCACAAACTCTGCTCACTGCGGCTTCTATCTCCTGGGTTCAAGTGATTCTCCTGCATCAGCCACCCATGTAGCTGGGATTACAGGTGAGGAGCACCATGCCCAGATAATTTTGTATTTTTAGTAGAGACAGGGTTTCACCATGTTGGCCAGGATGGTCTCAAAATCCTGACCTCAAAGTGATCTGCCTGCCTTGGCCTCCCAAAGTGCTGGGATTACAGAGGTGAGTCACCGCACGCAGCCAAAGCAAAGTATTTTTGCTTATTTCTGTATTTATATACATAGAATATTAATATATGCATTTATTCATGGCTTTTTTTGTTCAACATAACTGTTTTCCTTTCCCTTTTTTTTGTGATACGGAGTCTCACTATATTGCTGAAGCTGGAGTGCACTGGGCCATCTCAGCTCACCACAACCTGACTCCCAAGTTCAAGCATTCTCCTGCCTCAGCCTCCTAGCTGGGATTATAGGCATGTACCACCACACCCAGCTCATTTTGTAGTTTTGGTAGAGACAGGGTTTCATCATGTTGGTCAGCCTGGTCTTGAACTCCTGACCTCAGGTGATCCACCCGCCTTGGCATCCCAAAGTGCTGGGATTACAGGTGTGAGCCACCGTGCCAGTCTGTTTTCTTCTTTTTCTTTTGAAGCAAGGTCTCGCTCGATCACCTATGATGGAGTGTATTGATGTAATCATAGCTCACTGCTGCCTCAAACTTTTCAGAGACAGAGTGTTGCTACGTTGTACAAGCTGGTCTTCATACCTGGCCTCCAAACAATCCTCCTGCTTCGCCCTCCCAAAGTAAATATTATTGTTTCTATGATTAAAGCACACTGATACACATAATTATGGAACGTTAATTTTCTTTTTTTTTTTTTTGAGACGGAGTTTCACTCTTGTTGCCCAGGCTGCAGTGCAATGGTATGGATTTCAGCTCACTGCAACCTCTACCTCCCAGGTTCAAGCAATTTTCCTGCCTCAGCCTCCTGAGTAGCTGGGACTACTGGCATGCACCACCACACCAGACAAATTTTTTCATTTTTAGTAGAAATGGGGTTTCCCCATATTGGTAAGGCTAGTCTCAAACTCCCGACCTCAGGTGATCCGCCCGCCTCAGCCTCCCAAAGTGCTGGGATTACAGGCATGAGCCACTGTGCCCGGTGGGTACATTCATTTTGTCACTGTTGCTTAGTATTCCTTTGTAAGAATACACCACAATATATCTGTAAAACCTTTGATGGACATTTAAGTGCCCTATAGGGTTTTTTGTTCATAGTACAAATGCAGCAATTTTTTAAAGAGTGAAACATGGACACAATTTAAATGTCCATCACCAGCAAGAAGGGTTAAATACACACATCTATACCACTCAGTTTTAACCAACAAACAATGATTAATACAATTTTTAAGGCATGTTATTAAGTAAAAACTGTATGTTGCCTGACAATCTACATGCTCTCGTATATGGTAAAATTTACGTATATACACACAAACACACTCATACATATTTAAACATATATAAAGAAAATGGTCAGCCGGGCACAGTGGCTCACGTCTGTAATCCCAGCACTTTGGGAGGCCGAGGCGGGTCGATCACCTGAAGTCAGAGTTCAAGACCAGCCTGACCAACATGGTGAAACTCTTATCGCTATTAAAAAAAAAAAAAAAGG